GAACAGGTACCGATGGCCCTGAGGATTGAGTTGTTTCTATCCCCACTCTAGGACCAGGCCACACGTGATGTGGGCTGTAAGGGAGCAGCCAGAGGGATGCCGGCCTCACCACTGGGGAGTAGCCCTGAACCACACAAACAGATCGGTTCTGTTCTGGGAGTGGGGTGGGGAAGGGGGGGTGGGGGCTAATCCCTCTTCCTGGCTTAGCTTCTCTCTCCAGGCTCACCAAGATGCCTGCTAAAAATAACCCTGCAATCTCGGAACAGCGGTCCCTGGCTGACTCGAGGGTTGGACCACAGAGTAGGGGGCTGGAGCAGGATTCTGGATCCCCTTACCCAGAATGCTCCTCCTGTGTTCTTTTGCTTTGGGCCATGAACCACCATCTTGGGTTGTTTACTGACTCATAAAGATTTCGAAGCTGGAAGGCTAATTGTAATCTGTCGGTGATAAATGTGCTTTGTGGGGTTGAAGGAGGGGAGAACGGGGTCTTGGAAGGTTCCAGAAATGTGTAAGGTGCTAGGAGGAGGCATGACAGTGCAGGGTGAGCTTTGGGATTTGGTTTGCCTTCTGTTCAGGTGCTGAGTGACTTCGTGATTGGTTGGCTTCTCTGAACCTGTTTCTTTTGAACAAAATGAGCTTTTGACCCTCTTCACTGGGGACGATTAAACCACAGCCACTGAGTCAATTCTGCCTCATAGTGACCCTAAGGACAGAGAAGCACTGTCCGATAGGCTATAATCTTGAGGGAAGCAGGTTGCTACATCTTTCTCCCTGGATTTGAACAGCTGACTTTTCTGTTAGCAGCCAAGTGCTCAACCACTGGGCCACCAGATCTCCTCTGGGGATGATCACTTACCATCTAGCAAAGTCCATGTGGAAACTCAGCCCTGTGCCTACACCAAGTCTGTGAGCAAGGTGTGGCCCCCCTCCCAGCCCCTGCTCCTGCCAGCTCTGGGTGGACCGCTATAGATGTCACCTGGGACGAATGCTGGCTGGCCTGATGGTGTGGCACACCTTTCTTGTCCCTGAGCCCAGGCCCCCAATGGACGGAGTAGTGGCTCTGCCCCATGGACATCGTGCTGTGTGACACAAGACATCCGGTGAAGCATACAAGATCCTTATCAGCCAGCTGCACACATAACTTCCTGACCACACCAGGATTGACCTCCAAGTTCTGTTTTCTCAGTGTGTAGACTTGGGGTCTGTAAACATGCTGCTTCCTGCAAATGCACATAGGGTTTCTCTCCACGAGCCTGGACTTAGAGGCTGGAGTGGACGGGCCTGTCCTCCCCTCCCGCCTCCCCTCAGGGCAGCTACATTTCACCATACTCATGGAACTGTGCCCATGCTGAGAATCAAGAAGCAGCCCCTTTCCTCTGGGATCAGGACATTTGGGGAATGGGGTCTCAGCGTCAGTACATCATGCTCTCATCTTCCATACAAAGCCCATGGCCCAGTACTGACCTACACCAAGCAGGGGCTTTGCGGAGGAACCCCGAGAGAACCCCACTGCCTACATTTGCTCAGGCTGTCCCCTGGTCTGGAAGTTCTCATCTTCCACACAAAGCCCACGGCCAGGCCCATGGTGTTTTTAATCACTTCGTGGGCATGCAAAAGCTGGACAGTAAATAAGGAAGACGAGGCAAAGAACATTGAAAGTACCATGGTCTGCCAAAAGAATGAGCAAATCTATCTTGGAAGAAGTCCAGCCAGAATGCCCCTTAGAAGCCAGCATGGCAAGCCTTTGTCTCATGGACTTTGGACTTCAGGAGGGACCAGTCCCTGGGGAAGGACATCATGCCTGGTGAAGTGGAGGAAGACTTCTAGTGAGATGGACTGGCACAGTGGCAGCAGTAATGGGCTCAAACCTAAAAATTGTGAGGATACTACAGGACCAATTAGTGTCTTCTTCTGTTGTGCATAGGATCACTGTGAGTCAGGGCTGACTCGATGACACCTAACAACAACAGACACCGAGCCCCTCCCTGTGTGATGTGCTCACATACCTGCTTCAGGAGGAAGGGAACTGCCTGCCCACCCCCCCACCCCCCCATGACTTATCTATATTCCCTAACCACTGTTCCTACTCCCGCCCCATCGCATGGAGGAATGGGGGACAGTTGCTCATGCAGAGGGTGGCTCCAGGACCCTAGATGCCTCCTGGCCCAGGACCCTCATGGCCTCATGGGAGCTAGTGGGTGCACTAGCCCAGTTCCCCTCAAAGGCAGGGGCTCCCCCTCAAGGACAGGGGCTCACGTGAGCTCCTCTGTGTCAGTAGGATCCAGCCCAGGTCCCCTCCCAGCAAGTGGGTGTTGGGTGACTGAATCTGCAATTGGGCTTATGGCTGAACCAAGAGACAGAGCATGATGGGAGATCCTGGGGGTGAGCAGAGTCTTCCTGATGATAGAATCAAGGCAGGCTTCCTAGAGGAGGTGGTGTGGGAGCAGCTTCTAAGGTGGTGGGAATCTGGAGAGTGCTCCGGGAGCAGAGGCTGCTGAGAGATGTTATTATAAGAAGTCTACATGGATGCAGTGCCCAGCTTGGGGCAAGACCTGGTGTGGACTTAGCAGTGTCCTTGCGGGCAAAGGTTGGCAACGTCTACCCCCACCCCAAGCTCCCCAGTGGGCCTAGTTTGGGAATTGGGGACTCAGTTGGCTGTGCTGGGAGTGAGGGTGGGCAGTAGCATTCTGCAGACCCCAGTGCGTAGCTTTGATCTGTGTCCTCAGCTGTGCTGCGGGATGAGGGGATGGGCACTAATGATGGTCTTGGGCAGGGATTTTGTCCCTGAATGGGTGTCAGTCTTGAGGGCTCCATCACTTACTCCTCAGAACCATGTGGGTGGCTGGGAGCATTAGCCCCATTCATGGAGCAACTGAGGCACAGAGATTACTGAGTGTGAAGGGTTTGCTTCCATCATGGCCATGGTGTGAGTGGCCCCCTCTACAGATGGCAAAACTGAGGTACAGAGCCCACATCCCTCAGTGGGCCTGTGTGCTGCCTGCCCCCTCCCCCTGTGTCCACTGAATATGGGGAATGCAGAGACAGACCCACTCATCACCCCCCACACTCAGCTCTCAGAGCTGGATCAGAAGGGACTGGACTGTCCATCTGCAGACCAGGGCTCCCCCACAGGCTCCATCTTTGTTTCCTAAGCATTTCCAAATCCTTTCATCTGAGTTCATCCTCATGGGAGGGCCCGAGGGAGGGAAGGCGGAGACACAGCGCAATTAAGAGAATCCGAGCCCATGGGGCAGAGCTGGGCAGGTGGGGGCTGGGAGCCTTTGTGGAGAGAGCTGAGGGTCCCTTCCCAGGGTCATACTGGCACTACAGTGGTACCACAGGAGTGTGATTATGTTGCTGTTGTTGGTTTCATCGAGGCAGCTCCTCATGGATCACACAAGGAAACTCTGCCAGGTGGTAGGCAGCCACCCATTCCTAGGAATGTTTGAGCCTGTTCCTGCAGCCACTATGCTGTCCATCCAAGGGCAGGAGAAGGAGGCCTGGCATTTTGTGGCTTTTACGCCACTCCAGCCTGTCCTTCTTTCTGGTTCATTACACTGCCCTGGCTTCAGAGGACATGGGCGGGGGCAGGTGGACTTGACCTCGGCCAGCCTCCTGACCCAGTATCTCCACTGTCATGGTCCCCACGTCTCTGAGCTTCCCCCCTACCACACACACACACACACACACACACACACACACACACACACACACGCCACTCAGCACACTGGGCGTCTTGCCTGTCATCCTGCCCCGGGGCCTTTCCATCACTCAGAACACAAGGCATCTCTCCCTTCTAAATGTCTCACCCCACCTCTACAGTGAGGCCTCCAGATCCCCATCTAAAGCTGCTCCCACATCCCACCCTCTGCACCCCACACCCTGCTTTGTTTACCTTTTTGTGCCTGTGTGCCTGTATGTGCCAAGCATGTGTCCTGTGTGCTTCCTCACTGGATCATAAACGTCATAGGGGCAGGGGGGTTCCCATTTAGTTCACTGCCGGGTTCCCAGTGCCCCGGGAAATGTGGGGTTCTGTGCATGGTGTGTGCTGTCGAGTCAGCTTTGATTCATCACAACCCCTTATGGGGTTCTGAGGCTGCCTGTCTTTATGGAACAGAAAACCTCAGGTTTTTTCCACGGAGCGGCTGGTAGATTCACACTGCTGACCCTGTGGTGAGCAGCCCAATTCGTAGCCCTATACTGCCAGGGCTTCTGGGGTTCTGTGTGTACCAAACCCCCAAACCTCACTGCAATCAAGTTGATGGTGTCTCACAGGAACCGTATAGGAAAGTGTAGAAGTGCTTCATGGATCTCCGAAGTTGGAAATCCATATGGGAGCAGACAGTCTCTTGTTGATGCTTTCAGTTGTTAAGTGTCATTGAGTTGGTTCTGACCCATGATGATCCTGTATAGAATTTTCAAGGAACGGCTGCTGGGTTTAAACCACCAACCTTGTGGTTGGAAGTCCAGTGCTAATCCTACAGCACCGCATACTTCATACATGTTACTAAGTGCCATCAAGTCAGTTCCAACACATAGGGACTCTGTATAGAGTTTCCAAGGAGCAGCTGGTGGGTTTGAACCACTAACTTCATGGTTCGCAGTCCAGTGCTGATCCTACAGCGCCACATGGGGGGTGGGCAGGGGGAGTTAAAGAAAGTCTCTGCTAGCAATAGGCAGGGACCCCAGAGATGGAGGAGCTAGGACAGGACCGTTGTGGTGGTCCCAGGCTGCTCACGGGGAGGACACCATTCCTGGCCCTGTATTAGGCTGATGCTGAGTCCCCCTTTCAGAGCCGACCTCCTTGGGTTCAGTCTCATTTTGCCATGCAAAGGAAAGGAGGTGACAAGTGACCTGTGGAGGGAGGTCTTGTATCACAGACAGGAGCTTGGCTGTTGATGTCTCTGTAGGAGTAGGAGTAGGACAGGTGGGAGCACGGGCTGACCCCTCCCCCACTCTCATCAGCAGGCAGCTCCCAGCGGATCGATGCCAGCTAAAGGATGACCAGTTGTGGTCAGCAGCCCCTGGACGTGCTCACTGTCTTCTTCTCCTTGCTGTTCTCTGAAGGTCAGTCCTGTGGAAGGAGGTGGGCGGGAGATCAGAGCCAGCCCATCGGGGGTCCTGGGTGCTAGAAGGGGAGTACCTGAGTACCCCGTGCCATAGACACCCCCTGTGAGGAACCCATACCCCTACTGTGCATCATGATGGCCCCAGGGAGCTCGGCTCCTCAGTCTGGGAGAAGCTCTTGTTTCTTCCCGTAAGCCTCAGCAGGGCGCGGCCAGTCATTCCCATTCCACAGATGGGCAAGCAGAGGGTGAGAAAGCGGAACTGAGCTAATCTGCCTGAGACAGCACAGAGGGTGGAACGGCTGGGATTTGAACTCAGGTCCTCAGCAAAGGTGGCAAAGCCCAGCCTGGTCCAAGTGGGGCTCCCTGGGTGCCTGTTAAGCAGGACTCCCTTGGTGCTCCTTGTGTCTGCAGAGGGGAGGCACTGGGAGATGGAACTTGAGACCCTCCCCAACAGCTCCGCCCAGTACCCTCTGGCTTGGAGACCCATCCCCAGACAGGTGTCAATGACGCTGCTGGATCATGGAGGCACAAGGAGACTCAGAGAGGGTGGGCTGAGCTGGCAGTCCACTGCTGGGCTGCCCTTGCTAGGGCCCTGGCTTCTCAGGTCAGCCAGCTCTCATCTTTGTAACCAGGAGCGTGGACACACACCTGGGCCCTGGCCTGGGGTCTCGGGGACTTCCTATAGGAGATCGGAGGTTGGGCTCCAGCCTCCTTTTGACCTGAGTTTTAATTCCAGTCTCTCCACTAGTTCTGCGGTTCCAGGTAGATCAGCTCTGCTCACTGCCCCCACAGGCAGGAACTATTCACCCACAGTTCAAATGAGGAAGCTGAGGAAAAACGAGACCAGCCCAAGACCGTCACGTGGTTGGTTAGTCGGGAAGCACGTTGGAGTTCAGAAATTAGTGCTGAGTCAGCCCTTAGACTGTGGTCCTCGAGGCCTGGGGCCCAGGAGAATGGTCCCCTCCTTATCCTGGTGACTCACTGGCCCCCAAGGGAGTGTCCCTCTGCCCAAGTCTCTCCAGCACCCTCTGGCCCCAGTGCAGCCCTGAGTTCTCACACCATGCTCCTCAGAGCCCCTAGCAACCCAGGCCCTCTGGCCCCCTGTCAGCAAGTGGGAGGCACCCAGAGTCCTGGGTCAGAGCTAGTCACTCCCATTCTACAGACAGGGAAAACTGAGGAGTGGGATGGGAGTGGACTTGCCTGGGACAAGGCAGTGAGTGGCGGGGCTGGAATCCCACCTTGCTGCTGTCCAGTGGCTCCCAGCACAACTTCTGTTCCTGGGATGTCCTTTCCAGAGCAGCCACAAGGACCAGGGCCAGTGCTTGGGGGCAGGGAGATGCTGTGTCCAGCTTCCAGGAGGACTGCTCCATCTCCTCTGTTCTCAGTTGACCTCTCCAGACCTTGTGGCCTAGCAAAGCCCCCACCCCTGCATCCTCTCTAAGGCCCCCTCCACTCAGTCCCTTCCCTCTTGAGTCCTCCATGGCTTCTTGGGTCCTGTCTCAAAGGCCTTAGCTGCTTTTGACAACAGCATGCTCTTGTCCACACCCTGCACCAGACCCTGACCAGCTGAGGGTCCCCGGTGCCAGCCTCTGCTGTCATCCCCAGCCCTTCAGGCCTCTAAGCAGGGGTCTCGGACTCAGGCCCACCTGGAGACCTTCTGACCCAGATTTCCCAGGAGATGCTGATAGGAGCCGCTCCGGTATCCTCAACTTAGTCCTCTGTGCAATGGGAGTGATGTCCCTGGTGGCACAGATGGCTAAGTGCTCAATGACTAGCCTGCAGGTTGGCAGTTCGAGACCACCCCGAGGTGATCTGCTTCCGAAAGGTCCCAGTCTTGAGAACCCTAGGGAGCAGTTCTAGTTTGCACACATGGGGTTGCCAGGAGTTGGAATAGACTCTAGGACCACTCACAACAATGGAAATAAAGGAGATTAAATGACGGTGTCTCTGCCTGACATACGTGCATTCTAACCCCTGCATCCCACCAAGGGGCTCCCCCTGTTTCCCAAGAAGGGGCTCTGGAGAGTTGTTCTACCTCCTGGACATCTGGAACCCTTCTCCCACAGTGGTCTTGCCTGGTGCCACGCAACAGGTTGCTGTATTAGGGCAAGGGCCACAAAGCATCCCAGGGACGGCCGGAGCCAGGCTCAGCCACTTTCTGGCCGGGCCCAGCTGGGCCTTCCTTTCGGCAGCCCCGGGGGTGGGACAGTGCTGGCAGACTGGGAGCCACGGGGACTACAGAGAAGTCACCCTGGGTAGAGGCAGCTTACAACGGTCCTGAGGAGCTTTTGCAAACCCAGTACCTTTGTGGTTGGAGGAATGTGTTCAGTTAGCCAAGCGCCTTTTCAGTGATACAAATTAGATATAGTAATCCTTTTTATGAAGATACTAATAAAGCCAGGGATGACTGTTTTCTATTGTTAGATACAGGCTGGTCCCAGGTAGTTAGGAATCAATACCCTTCTCTCTCTGAAGAGCCTCTTCTTTAACATTTGAGGTGCACGCAGCAGTGGTTCGTAGTAACAAACGAATGCTACTTTGCAACATACAAGAACACATGATTAGCATTGTTGTTAAGTACTCCAGTCTCATTCCAACTCATAGCCACCCTATATGGGGTTTTCAAGGAGCAACTGGTGAGTCTGAACCGCTGACCTTGTTATTCAAATCGACCTTGCGGTCCAGTGCTTATCCTAATGCACCATACCAGGACTCCAGTGCATCTGAAAGTGTCTCTTTAATGATTTTATACATAGAAAGATAAACTATGTCCTTTATACTGAGACAAACATTTGAGTGACTGATGTCTGATATTGACCGTTCCTTGCTATTCCAACTTATGTACAAATCTGACTTCAAGAGAGATGTAGGAAGGGCACTCATTCGTAATGTGGGACCTACCCGTGATTAAGCGGTATGGAAGGTGGTTTGAGGCCAGGAAATTCTGTCAGGGTCCCAGCACAAGTGGAGGCCCCCAGGGAACCCAGGTGTTAGTTTAATAGAAATGAGTCGCAGGGGCACGCTACTTTGTCCACAGGGGGATCTGGTTTATGAACCCACACTGCCTATTCCAGGCTAGTTTGGGGTTGTCAGCAGGTCCACCCCCGGTCCACACAGCAAACAGGTAACCAGCAGCCACTGAACAGGCTCCGACTCCTGGCAACTTCATGTGCATCCAGGTAGAACTGTGCTCCGTCAGGTTCTCTGTGGCTGATTTTTTCAGAAGGAGATCTCCAAGATTTTGTTCTAAGGTGCTGCGGGGCGGACTCCAAACCTTTGACATTTTTGTTTAGCAGCAGAACTTGTTAACTCTTTGCATCACCATGGGACTCCAGACCACTCAGCAACAAAGCTTTGGTAAGAGGAACCCTGAGCTGTTTGAACGCACCCAGTGGTTCTGTGGAAGAAAGATCTGGCAATCTGCCCCACTGAAAATAGTTGTGAAGTGCCGTCAAGTCAGTTCCAACTCATAGCAACCCAGTATAGGGTTTCCGAGGAGCAGCTGGTGGGTTTGAACTGTTGACCTTGTGGTTCACAGTCTAGTGCTGATCCTACAACACCACGCCAGGAGTCCCCATTAAAGAGGACAGCCCAGAAAACCCTCTTGATCATTCTGCTGTGCCACATTGTTGTTGTTGTTAAGTGCCATCGAGTTGGGTCCGACCCACAGCGACCCTGTACAGGGTTTCCGAGGGTGTAAATCCTTACGGGAGTAGAAAGCCTCATCTTTCTCCCGCGGAGCGGCTGGTAGTTTCGAACCGCTGACCTTAAGGTTCGCAGCCCAATTCGTAACCACTATGCTACCAGAGCTCCTTTGGGTTGCTATAAATTAGAATGGACTTGAAGGCCTCCAACAATAATAACAGTGGTGAAGGCACACACCTCCCATGCAGTCCCAGATTATGAACAAGTGCCTTTCCTGCGTCTGTCTTTAAGTCAGATTGTACATAGGTTGAAACAGCTAGGTACAAATGTCGCTGGGTTCCAATCCAGCTCCACCACCACTACTTACCAGCTGTGTGGACTTAGGTAAGTCATTTTAGAACTCTGAGCTCAGATTCTCCAAGTGCAAAGTGGGACCCCAGACCTGCCTGCTGGGTGGCTGTGTAAATTAAATGCAACAATGCCTGTGAAGGAACCTCATTCATAGAAGGTGCTCAGTTTAGGCTGAGCTCCCAGCTGAGTGCCTGTTTTATGCTGGGCTACTTGGAAGGCGTGCACAGGAGGCTAAGAGGCTACCCTGCTCAAGGGAAACCCCCATATTGTTTGAACCTTCACCTAGAGAAGAGTCCGGAGGTGGGTTCTCCAAAGAGGCGAGCTGGGTCGTGGACAGATAGGCTGCTTGGTGAGGGAAAAGACGGGGGAGTCATGGGCAGGCCAGCTTCACAGGCTTCACCCCTTGGCCCCTAATTTCCTATGATGGTTTGTGGGCAGCAGGCCCCACCAAGCCTGATGACTCTATCTTCCAGTCCTGTCTGCACATTTCCGGGTCTGCGAGCCGTACACTGACCACAAAGGCCACTACCACTTCGGCTTCCACTGCCCCCGGCTGTCGGACAACAAAACCTTCATTCTCTGCTGTCATCACAACAACACAGTCTTCAAATATTGCTGCAATGAGACGGAGTTCCACGCGGTGATGCAGGCCAACCTCACAGCCAGCTCCGAGGGCTATGTGCACAAGTGAGTACCCCAGTCCCTGGGACCCCCACTAAAGCCTGGTGCCACCCCCCCAAAATCCTACCTGCCTGGGAAAAGCCTCTGGGTGGCCAGGGTGTCTGACGTGTTCTGCCTGCCGAGCTTTAGCCTTCTCATCTGAGAAATGGGTACATGATACCTACCCCTCAGGGCTGCAACAGAAGTTGGATGAGGTCAAGTAGATGGAAAGCTTCCAGGTACAGAAGGACACAGTGTCTTCCTTTATCCATTTTCCATTCATCTAATACTGATTGTCACCACTGACCCAGGGATAAATCCTTGGCAACCCCTTCCTTAAGGCGATTAGAAGACAGTGGGAGCAGGGCTCAGAGGAGAGGCAGTTAGCTCCGTTTGTGAGGCTTGCTGAAGGCTGGGAGGAGTCGGGGACTGGGAGGAATGTATGATCCGAGAAGCAGAGGCACCGTGCTAAGTAAATGGTGGGTCAAAACAGCATGCACACCCCTTATTATGCGTGAAGCTGAGTTACTATAAGTCAGAATCGCCTGAACGTCAATGGTTTGTGTTTTGAGTTTGAGCATCTTTTCACATGTCTGAGGACATTTGTCTTTCTCTTACTGCGACCGAGCTGTTCCTGTCCTTTACCATTTGTCTATTGAATTTCCAGTCTTTTACATATTTATTTGAGTAACTAAAATCAATACCTAAAACACTAGAAATTCAATAGAATTTCACTAGTTGGAAAATATGACCTATGTGCTAGAAATAATGCTGGAGATGAGTGGTAGAATTTTGCAAGACCAGGGACTTCTTCATTGCAAATATCTTTTTTAAATAACGGAAAAGGCAACTCTACACATTGCTCTCACCAGATGGAATACTCAGAAATCAAATTGACTACATCTGTGGAAAGAGATGGTAGAAAAGCTCCATATCATCAGTCAAAACAAGGCCAGGGGCAGACTGTGGAACAGACTATCAATTGCTCATGTACAAGCTCAGGCTGAGGCTGAAGCAAATTAAAACAAGTCCATGAGAGCCAAAATATGATCTTGAACATATCCCTCCTGAATTTAGAGATCATCTCAAGAAAAGATTTGATGCATTAGATACTAATGATGGACGACCAGAAGAGTTGTGGGATGACATCAACAACATCATAAAGGAAGAAAACAAAAGGTCATTTATTAAAAAGACAGAAAAGAAAAAAAAGAGCAAAATGGATGTCAGAAAAGACTCTGAAACTTGCTCTTGAGCATAGAGAAGCTAAAGCAAATGGAAGAAATAAAGACATAAAAGAGTTGAAGAGAAAATTTCAGAGGGCAGCTGGAGGAGACAAAGCAAAGTTTATAATGAAATGTGATACGAACTGGAGTTAGAAAACCAAAAGGGAAGAACACACTCAGCATTACCCAAGCTGAAAAGACTGAAGGGAAAATTCAAGCCTCAGGTTGCAATATTAAATTATTCGTCGGGCCAAATGTTGAATGATACAGAAAGCATCAAAAGAAGAGGGAAAGAACACACAGAGTCAGTGTACCAAAAGAATTGGTGGATGTTCTTCCATTTCAAGACGGAGCGTGTGATTAAGGGTCAGTGGTACTGAAGGAGGAAATCCAAGGTGCACTGAAGGCATTGGCAAGAATTTAGGAAATGATGGAACACAAATTGAAATATTTCAACAAACTAATGCAGCACTGGAGGCACTCACTCATCT